AGGAGGGAATGGGGGGATGGTGCTGGTGGGGGGGACATGGAGGGTCCCGCTAGGGACTCGCTGGCATGTCCCAGCTTTGCTTGCGGCCAAAATGGGGCTGCTGGCGAAGCCACCACGGTGGCAGGTGGCTGTGGGAGGGGGACAGGGCTGGATGGGGCTGGCAGCCCCAGGACCGTGTGTGTGTCCCTTTGGGGGTGGGACATAAGGGTGCCCAGGGGGGATGCATCTCTGCAGGCGAGGACCCATTGCTGTCTCCAGGCTTTTCTTCCCCTCCCCATGCAGCCATTCAGCCTTTCGTCTCCGTCTCCCCCTCTCTGGCCCGCTGGGGCTGGGAGGGTAGGAGCGGGGTGTCCCGGCCGGGCTGGAGACGCACTTTCACTTTTACTGCCTTTTAACAAGCTTGTGTTCCTCTGAGCTTCGTGTTTAATAAAGGTTTCTACTGACTCTGGCCTTTGGCACAGGGCTGCATTCAGGGAGCTGGGGGCATTAGGGGTGGTGGGGACCTCAGCCTGAGAAACCAAGGGGTTTGGGGTTATTTGGGTGCGATGGGGCGGTGCTTGATTTTGAACTTGAAATGCATGAGCAGGTATGTCACTGCCTGGGGTTGCAGGAAGTGTTTTGGTCCTTGTTTGTTTTTTTTGTTGTGTTTTTTTTTTTTCCCCATGCAACTCCATACATTCCCTAGGAGCTGGGGCTGATCCTGCCACCCTCTGTGCCCCCCAAGAGGGTGTACGCCAGGGGGACATGACCATGGCTCTGGGGGGGAGTTTGCTCCTTTTGGCAGCCCCTGTGCCCACTCAGTTCCTCTCCTGCCTGGCTCCCTTCCCTGTCTTCCCCTCCTGCCGGTTTTGGGGCGGTGTTTGCACAGGGGTACGGGGAGGAGGAAGGCAGCCTGGGGCCTGTGTGAAACTAGTCCACACATCCACCACCCCATCACGCTCCTTGTGACTTCCCAGCTCCCCTGTTCACTCCAGCACCACCTTGTCCTGCCTGAATGCAGCTGCCAGCACCCACTCTGTGGCCCAAAGTTTGAGGTTCCTGTGTCCCTGCTCACTGGGGATGAGCTGGCTGCAAGCGGCAGCCCTGACCCTGAATGCCCCTACTCCCTCTGTGGAGGGATCCTTCCTGGGGATCAGGGGACATCGAGGGCCCCTGGTGAGGGATGCTTGGAGATTCCAGGAGCTCCCTGGCAGCCTGGAGCGGGCTGAGGGGGGCTATGGCCCCCACCCAAGTGGCAGGAAGGGATGTGCCCCTTCCTTCCCATGTGTGAGTGCTTACTCCCTCTTTCTGCCTGGCCTCCTGCCTGTTTTTCCTTTAAACAGCCTGATAAATACTTCACCCTGGATCGTGTTGCATAAGCTCGCCCTGCTCCTGTGCCAGCTTTTGCAGGGAATGGGAACCCGGGTTCTGGCCAGGCTGCCAATGGGTGCTGGGGTGGCACGACAAACCCATTGCTGCTGCCTCCATCGTCTTGTCCCCATCCCTGCATTGTCCCCAGCTCGTCATACTGCCACAGTACTGGATTGTTCTTGCTTCAGGACACACGTGGATAGTGGTGTGCTGGTGTGGGGTAGCAAACCCCACAGCTCAGCACCATCGTGGTGCCAGCTGCCCTGGTCTCAGCCCTCCTCCCTGCAGCCCCAGGCACTGGCCAGGGCTCAGGAGTGGGGCCAGCCGGGGCCCTGGCGAGGAGGGGAGCATGCCATGCTGTCCCAAAACCCAATGGTCAGGAAGGCAGTGGCACACACAGCCTCTCTGTGCTCGAGTGGGAGGAGCCAGTGATTTGTGTCACACTGTCACCCATTCAAATGGGGCTCTTCTGGGCTATTAAACTGGAAGAGCTCTCCTGCTGCTCTGGTCCATGGGGCTCCTGCCCCACAGAGCCAGGGGCAGGGAGGCGGGGAGACCAGGGTGGGTTGGACATGGGCCCTTGGTTCCCTGCCTGCTGCATCCTTCTTTGCAAGGTCAATGTTTGTCACCTGAGGTGATAGAGGTGCTGAAGCTTTCATAATTTAGAGTGGGGTGCCAAGCCCAACCGTATGCCAACACATCCTCATCCCTGTGCTTAGCAAGATCCAACGCTCCTTCTCCACTCCCCCTCTTAGTTTCATTTTCGTGGAGGGTGACGGTGATCTGCACTGCTGCCCGAAGGCCTGAGACCCCGAAGGGGCCATTGGCTTTTAGGGGAGCCAGTGGGCACAGGGAGACAGCAGAGGACTTACATCAACATCCTTAGCTCTGCAGGACTGTTCCTGCGAGCGAGCTAACCCCTGGTCACAGCATAGCTTTTCCCTTTTCCCCTGAGCAAAGGTGAACCTCTCTGATGGCATTCACCATCACATTCCCCTAATAGGGAGCCTCATGGGATGATGAGCCCTTGGGACTCCTGGTCCCCATGAAAGCAGCCTCCCGGCAGGGACAGGAACACATCCCCCGCTGCGGCAGCGCAGCCCATCTCAGAGGGAATGCGTTGGCGGCTCCACACGAGCCAGAGCACCATAAAAATAACCGCTCTGCCTCCCAGGGATGATTCATGATGCAGCTGAAGGGCTTCCCTCCCGCTATTTCAAATTGCTGGAGAAAGATCTGATGATAGCTTGTGTAGGGGCTCTCATTTCCAAAGAGCACATGGCGGTTTTGGGAAGCAGCCCCGGGCACTGCCCAATTTTATGAGCTATCTGCACCACAGATGCTTTTCTCTGTCAAGTGAAGCAGACACAGTGTGGGAGGTGGTCACCCTGCACACATCCTGTGTGCCCCATGTGTCCTTGGCTCCTGTTCGCTCCCATCTGCCATTCTTTGGCAGGAACCCTGTCGGGACTGTGCCCGTCCAGCTCTGGGGGTGCCCGGTGCTGTCTGACTGTGGTGGCAGCTCCATTGGCACTGGCAAATGGTGCAGCAGGTGGGCACGCATCTGCAGGCTGAGCTATGCCAGATGCAGATGTGCTGCTGAGCCCAGGCAGTTGTGGGGTCTGTCCCCATGCTGAGATGTTTGGGCTCGGAGGAGGTGGGAGAGCCCAACAGTGGGACCAGCTCTGGGACAGGCTGGCAGTGGCTGAGGGGCAGCATTAGATGTTGACACAGTATCAAGTTTGCCAGAATTCATACCTTTAATCTAATCCCCCTTGGAGGGTCCAGGCAGGTTTTGGGGTCTCTACAGGCCCCTGTGGTATCTCTGGCCCGGGGTGCTGTGCCCCTGCCAGCACTGCCTGCCTTGCTTCTGCATCCCGACCCATGCTTCAGTATTTCCACTTCTGAAAATCACTCAAATTTCTTTTGCAAGAAAGTAACTCAGGTAAGTGAAGCGCAGCATCGTTTATTCACCAGTAAGTGGGTGCTTCGTTTAATTCCTGCCTGGCTGTGGTCCTGTGCCCCTTGTGCCTGGGTAGCAGAGCAAAGCTCTGGTCTGGTGTTCCCCCCCCGGCCCGGGCAGAGGCCATGTCCGCCTTCCCTGCCCCTGGATTTCGGGGGACGTTTTGGAAGGAGCTGGGGGCAACTGCTGCCTCCTACTGCCGGCAGAAGTTTTGCTCTGGCCTCAGGACTTTGCAGCTGCTCCTTCTCAACCAGACACTCATGCCATCTCTGAGGCATCCTGATAGGGACCTAGCATGGATTTTAGCAGCACAGAAGTGCAGAAGCCCC